CCCCCCCCCCCCCCCCCCCCCCCCCGTGGAAGAAGAGGCGGTGACCGCTTTGCTACTTCCGTGATCCACGTTGACGAGGCGCGTTACTGTCCGAACGCGATATTACCATGGAGCCTCGCACCTCTCTCCCCGGGATTCTTCTCTTGGTGGCCGCTTGCGGTGAGCGGTGGCAGCAGAGGAACTGTAATTAACGAACTCTCTTGTTCTCCCTGTCTCTTTCGCCTTCTCCCTTATTCCAGCGCGACTGTACAGCCCGTCCATCCTCCTCCCGCTCCTCCCCCTGTTCTTTATCCATGGTTTTTGTCGCGTCACACTCAGGCCCTACGGTTTCGCCAGTCGTACATACGGAACCCTGCGGTACGTGTCCTCGCGCTCCTACGTGTTCCCGTGTACGTGTGTGTGTGTGTGTGTGTGTGTGTGTGTGTGTGTGTGTGGGTGGGTGTGTGTGTGTGTGTGTGGGTGGGTGTGTGTGTGTGTGTGTGGGTGGGTGTGTGTGTGTGTGTGTGGGTGGGTGTGTGTGTGTGTGTGTGGGTGGGTGTGTGTGTGTGTGTGTGGGTGGGTGTGTGTGTGTGTGTGTGGGTGGGTGTGTGTGTGTGTGTGTGGGTGGGTGTGTGTGTGTGTGTGTGGGTGGGTGTGTGTGTGTGTGTGTGGGTGGGTGTGTGTGTGTGTGTGTGTGTGTGTGTGTGTGTGTGTGTGTGTATAGTTAGGTACAGGGTCTTCGCGTAGCGGAGGAGATAGCAGATAGAGGATGTAAGAGAGATGGCGAGCGAGGGAGGTAATAAGGGACGGGTTGGCCGGGACGCCTCCATCCTGCAGCGTGGCAGGTACGTCGGGATTGCTTCTCGCGGATCGTTAAGCAGAACTGCTAACTACGGGATTATGCATACTGCGGGACCCGTCCCGCAATTATGACTCTGTTATGAATTCGTCCTGACACAAGGATCCCCCTGTCGGCGGAACGGCTGCGCCAGACGACGGCCGCGACACGTACGCCGCGCCCGCTCGTCGTCGTAGGACGTTTATCTCGAGACATTTACGCGAAAAAGGTGCAAAAGCGCGCCATGTCCTCCGGCATCGGTTTCGCCCGTTGCCTTGCTTCACCTTCCGCATCGACGCGTACTCCGGTGTCACGTGTGCAGGATGCAGGATGCGCGGCTATCGAACGCGTTCGCTTCGCAGCCGAGCTGTTCCTTTATATCGCACCAATGGTTTTCACGTTTCCTCGCGCAACTCTCGTATTTCTTCGCCGTACACACCTTCGCTCATCGTATTCATAGAACAATCGAAATGCAGCTCTCTGTGAGGCAGCCCTTCCCCGTGGAAGACGTAAAAGCAATGACTGCAAAAGAGATTGATTTGCGAAGTACACATTTATGGCGATTGTGATATTCGGCTGTCAATTATCTTTCACCGGATAGCGATTTTCCTATGAATATTTTATAGATGTTGGTTTTCAACGTAATCTTTCCACTTCATCTGCTGAAAGCTTTTCAATGATTACTTTTTCGAAGATAATTATTTTTTTAATTAAATTCCATTTATAGTGTCAGTAATAGTAACCTTATATGCATGTTGCTGTTATCAGCTGCATGTTAGAACAACCAAAGGATATAGTTGGGGCCAAAAGAAACTATAATTTCAGTTAGATTAATCATTCTCTTCTTCTACTGTTGTATATTGCCGAGTCTCTTTTGTTCGACAAATACATACAGTGGTTTGTAAAAAGAGAAGAAAATGTTCGGGATAGCGTTCGTTCGTTTTGTGACGTCGCGTCTCGCAGAACGCCGCGACAGAAACAATTACAGAAGCACTTCCGCACTTATCGATTACATCCATACGCCGCGCGAGGAAACCAACCTCCGCCGCGATCCCGTCGTCGAAAAAGTTCAGCAACGCGCTCTCTGCCTCTCCCTCTCCCCTGCTTCCCTCTGAGAATCCACGGGAAGAAAAACGACCGCGCGCCGGAAAACTTCAGGAAGCAAAGTTCCTCGCGGGAATGGAAATGGTGGCAGACTTTGATCTCACTCGACGGAATCTAATTACTACGCGGATAGGACCTAACGGCAGCGGGACACGAAACGAAGCGAGTCGTCGATCGCGAGTCAACGACGAGCGGCGAGGCCTCGTTACGAATTCCATCGGCGAAGTTTCCCTTCGGGCGACCTCTCGATATGTACATATTCCGCGCCGAAGGAACTGGAAGAGATCGCGCTATTTCTACTTAGCCCGATCTCTCTCGCGTCTCCGAGAACGACGACGACGATGACGACGACACGCACGGCCCGGCACGTCTGTGTTCGTCGAATTGCGTTGTTCTCGAAGACGGCTGGCTTAACGGATCTGAATCCGCGATGTGATCGGATTAGGTGATTTAGCTAGTAAGAGCCCCTGTCCGTACGCTCTCTAATTCCCTCTTAACGAACCGATCAAGCGTTGCTGCCGAACGGCAAGCTCATCTGTCGCGAGATTTTGCAGACCATCCTGCGCCAAAGGTCGATCCTTCTCTTTCCCGAATCGTTGGAAACGAGCGAGTCGAGCTCCGAGGAAAATTGTCGGAATAATCAGGAACATCACTATTTCAACGCCTTAAGATAATTTTGCGTTTAATAACTCGCGTTATACCGATACAAAAGCCGGCTTCTCACCAGACGTTTAACTCGAGAATGGCAAGATGAAGTATTTTTAATAACGTTGGCAACACTGATAGGTTCTTCAAGGACTAAGAACACTGATCGGCTCCAAGTTCTCAGTAGCTTTCAGTTGAGTTTTCGTCTTGATCCTCAAAAGGTCGTTATCCTTCTTCCACCTCGTAGACTCCCATAAGTCGCGGACAAGTAGCAGCAGCTCCAACTTGTGTTGATATATTCGTCACTTCAAAGCTCATGTGTTCAATATTCATGTGAATCTATCGTGATCATTTAGCTATTGTAATTTTTGTGATTATTACTAATCGTTTTTTGTTTAATCAAACATTTATTTTGTCACGTCTCTTTCAAAACAAGAGAAAAAACTCACAAGACTAAAGATTCAAGCTTGTACAAGTCTGAGAATTGTGATGTTCTGATCATATAATGATTATAAAGTTGTGTCTTTTGATGAATAAAATTAATGTTTGGATACTACAAAAAATCTCAAGTTTAAATCTTGATGGTAAGAACTGACGGGATCGCTGAAAAAAGTTGTGAAGTATAACCGCAGCCCACAACTTGTGGTTAACGTCCCAGAAATCGCGCCTTGTCATTGCCGAGTTAAATCGCGTCGCTTCCGAATCCGCGAGTTAATTAAAACGTTCAACGATTTTTGCTTTTCTGCAAAAAGGTTAATTTAAGCGGCAAAGCGC